ATAAATGTACAATATATCAAATATCGTTTCTTAAAAAAAAAATAACACAGACGCATAGAACGTATAGAATATTTCTTGCAACACGAATAAAAAGCGTTATAATTTAATTCAATGAATAACATTATGGAAAAAAGTTATAAATATTTCCAATAAACAAAAAAGGTGGTCGATTGAAATTAACAGTTATACTAATAGATTCTGATTGATTTCAGTTTTTGATAATGCATTCACATGTGCTACATTTTTTGCAAACCCTATACGAGGGTCAAACTGAAAGTTCTTAGAACTGGCCACTTATAAACAATATAATAAAAAAATAATTCTAAAATTTGAAAATATAACTCTTTGCCAATATTACTGAGTATATATTTCATTCATTTGTCATTTGTTTTACGATTTGGCGGCAAATTGAAAATTGTCTGTGTCACGTCATCATGAATTTAACACGAGAAAATTTTCGTGCAATGATTTTTTATGACTTTCGATGTCATTTAAGTCAACAAGAAAGTTATGATAGACTACGATTGGCCTTTCACGATGAAGCCCCATCTCGTGCGACTGTTTACAACTGGTTTAATGAGTTTAAACGTGGTCGCACTAATCTCACTGATGATTTACGTGAGGGACGGCCTTCTACGGCGACGACTGAAGATAACATCTGTGTTGTGCGGCGTATGATAGAGACTGACAAAAGAGTGACCTATCAACAGATTCGGACAAGCTTAGGCATCGGTATGAGTCAAGTGCACAAAATCCTCCACGAACATTTAGCGGTCAGGAAGCTTTGCGCCCGGTGGATACCTCATAATTTGACTGAGGCTCAAAAACTCCATCGTGTGGATTGGTGTCGTAAAATGATTGAAAGATTTAACGGAGGTGACTCAAATGCTGTGTTCGACATACTAACAGGTGACGAAAGCTGGATTTACTGTTATGATCCTAAAACCAAAAGACAATCTGCTCAGTGGGTGTTTCCTTTCGAGGAGTTGCCAACTAAAGTGAAGAGAGATCGAAGTGCGGGAAAAAAAATGGTGGCCTCGTTCTTTGGAAGGATAGGTCATTTTGCAACAATTGTGTTAGAGGATCAAAAAACAGTTTCTGCAGAATGGTACACTACCAATTGTTTGCCACTTGTCTTGGAAAAAGTTCGAGAGAAACGACCTCGCAGTAGGATCCTCCTTCACCACGACAACGCCTCGTCGCACACCGCCAAGCGAACGATCGACTATTTGGCGACATCAAACGTTGAATTACTGGGTCACCCGCCGTATAGCCCCGACCTCGCGCCTTGTGATTTTTATTTATTTCCAAAAACTTAAAGGAAAGCGGTTTATGAATGCTGAAGAAGCGGTGGCTGCGTATCGCGATGCCATTGAAGAGACCCCTAAGGACGAGTGGGCAAAGTGCTTTTCCCAGTGGTTCCATCGCATGCAGCGGTGTATTGACGTGAATGGACAATATTTTGAAAAGATATAATAAAACTAATAACTGGCTAATGTAATCAGTTTTTGATTTTCTAAGAACTTTCAGTTTGACCCTCGTATAGAAAAAAATTATGTATACATCTAATAAAATTTTTTAAAACTTTTAAATTCTACACTTAATGCAAAGTATAACGGTATTTAGCTCGTGTATACATAAGTTTTGAGACAAAATAAAAGTTGTGTAACTTTTTAATGACTTTTATTTCTAAAATTTTTAGTAGCCACAAAATAGATAATAATCAACAATAAAATATATATATTATTCAAAATGACCACCCTTGTTTTTAATACAGGCCCTTTGACGATTTACCCAGTCATGAGTGGCAGCACGAATCTTTTCTAGCGGAATTCGCTTTGCTGCTCGAACAAGGGTTGGTTTCAGTGACCCCAAGTTTAGATGGGACTTTGGGGCAGACCCTGAGCTCCAATTCAGTCCATAAAGAATAATCCAGCGAGTTGAGGTCGGGGCTGGAGGAGGGTCACTCGTCCGCCACGATGAAGGCCGGCACATTCTCCCTCAACCGAACTTGGGTGCTTTTTGCCTTATGGGATGGGGCCGAAACCGAATCTTTATTGTGAAATAATATATCAAACAGGGGTTTCACCACGAACTCTAATATATCACTCTGATAATTCTTGACCTTGACATCTTGTTGGCAGAAATGGAGCGGAGTGACACCCTTATACGAAACTTCCCGCCATAGCATCACACTAACCGGATGATTAGTGTGCGAGACATTCCGTGCATAAGCTGGGAAATCCTTGCTACTTTTAAGATAGATAGATAATTCATTTATTTGCATTATTAAAATAGCACAAATGCATTATTAAATTCTATTGCAATAAAAAAAGAATTATAATAAAAAATCCGCTTTAACGTGTGCGCCACAACAATGCAAAAGGGTAAAAACTCAACGATTCCTTTGCTCAAGGAGCAAAGCGCTGATTTTCGGCTTTTACCCAGAGTGCTAGCACGATCTCAAACTATAGCTTCACTTTGATATGATAGTCTGATTAAAAATTGCATTCAATCACAAGTATTATAATGGAATATAATAATTCATTAAATTAATCAAAAATTGCAAAATTTAAATTGTGATAATAATTAATATTTAAAATATTGATTGTCACTATCACAGATAACATAGGTCGGAGCATGAAAAAACAGTACACATAAATTATATAAAATGAATAAACAGCACAATATAAAGATAATATAATAAGATAATAGCAGTTTGGTTCTTCGATCCCAGGACCATAAATTTGGATTTTGTCTTATTGAGAACCAAATCGTTCTCATCACACCACATAGCTACCCCTTTCAAGTCTTAATTCATCTCCCAAACGGTTTGGGTTATTTCATGTTGAGTCCCAGAAATATATAATTGCACATCGTCAGCATAACAGTGGTATTTACAATATTTAATAACTCCTGGCAAATCAGCCGTATGTATAATATAGAGAAGGGGTCCAAGTATGGAGCCTTGGGGTACACCTCGCTTAACAGGTTCCGGGCTGGAATTCATAAAAGATCCGTCCTGCCTGTGGAGTCTAACCGACTGAAAGCGATTGCTGAAGTAGCTACTAAACCACTTAATCGAGTTCGGATCGCAGCCGTAATAGGCTAACTTAGATAAAAGTAGAGGGACACTGAGACCATCAAAGGCACGCGAGAAATCAAGAAGCGTCAATAATGTGACGTGACTAACATCCTGCTCCGCAAGAATATTGTCAGTAACATCCAACAATGATGTCACAGTACCAAGACCTTTCCGAAAGCCGGATTGATGTAGTGGTAATATATCAATTGCCTCCACATACTTCACCAGTTGACAATATACAACCTTTTCCAATATTTTGGACAAGAAAGGCAATATACTTATTGTTCTAAGATCATTTGGCTCACTAGGAGATTCAACTTTAGGCAATGGTGTATTAAGTGCAGTCTTCCACTGATCAGGGACTGTATTGGAGACTATTGACCTGTTTATTATGGAAGTGATTACCGAACGCGTACGTGGCAGCGACAGCATCACCATGTCCCTATTAATTTCATTACAGCCAGCAGCGTTTGATTTCACTGTCATTATGTATTTAGAAACCTTAGCTTCAGTAACAGTATGTAATTTAAACGGAGGTGTGACGATGTTAAACCGATGATGCTCGAAATAAGACAACTGAGAGATGGATACATTTTCCGAGCAAGGCACCTTCAAAAAATGATTATTTATAGCATGCGGATTGTCAAAGCACTCTGGAAGGAGATCGTATTTATCTTGAGTCGGTAAAATTTTTCTTTTTAAGTTTCTCTAAAAGATCTTGCTATTATTTATATTTTTGTTGATATATTGATCAAAAAAGTATTTATAATACTAGTTGAAACCATATTTTTCGTGTCCTTATAAAACTGTTTTTTAACGTACACTTTATTGTTTTGTCGGTTGAACTTTTCTCCGACAGTAAAAAAAATCTCGTCGGTGAAGAGTACCTTCCTGGCATCATATCTCCTCAGCAGCAATGGACAACGATCGCATCGTAATTTACGAAAAACGATCGTTTAAAAAGTGAACTTTTCTACGGCTCTAAGCCTTTACCTTAAGATCATATTTCAGTATTCTGTTCACTGAAACGCGCGAAATATTAGTCTGCAGAGCGAGTTTCTTTTTAATGCGACATGGATTTCGGCGAGCAACATTTTATTTTATTTTTTCAGTAAATTTGACTCGAAACTTATGAACACACAAGGTAGTATTCAGAATAATAAACTCAGTTGACTTTTCAAATCATTTTTATATGATTCTATCACGATTAGCTTTTTCGTTAAAGAGTTTCAATAAATATTTTATCTTAAAGGGGGTACTCTACAAAGTAATACAATAAATATGCTTAACTGTATACCTTAATATCTTCGTTGATTTTAAATTGGTTAGATTATTTTTTTGTAAAAACAACAAAACTAATTTGTAGCTTGACTTGCATTTATAAACTTTCTGATGATTTTTAGGCTTTGGACTCGGTTTTTTTTATGTAAATCAAATGTGTATTGTTTCAAATCGTAATTAAAATTTATTAAATGCTAGAAGGGTTTCTACATCTATCTGCTGCCACTGGCTACTCATTAATTAATAAAAATATAGAAGAAATCAAAAACTAACGATATCGTCATACATATGGATAGGTAATGATGTAGTTAAGCTCATTGAAATCGTAAATCATTATGAAACCAACCGCACAACTGCTAAAATGATGAATAGTATTCGCCTTAAAATTTACGATCGCTCGTTCATACGAAACTTAAAACAAATAGGCTTGGTTTACGCTCGTAAGCAAAATATTTCTACAAATATTAAGTCAGAAGTATTTATGACACAATGCCAATTCTGACAGTACTTTTAAATTTCATCAGTGTTACCTCACAAATCGTGGTTTTGGCAAGACTCGATTTTTTTAACATTTCGGTTGTAGTTTTTTTCATTATATCCGTTAATAATTTGTATTTTTTTTATATTGTTATAGGTGCAGATTAATGTAGTGGTACTGACATAAGTGTAATAGTTGAAGTTTATGAAACAATCGCCTGCGCTGAGACGCGTTAACAGTGAAATGAGTGAAATGCGTTGGAGACGCTGAACGAAGGCGTGGAAATGAAAAGAGAAAAGTACAAGAATTCTTCGGAACTTGGGTAAGTGCGACAATTAGAGCAAAAACTTCTCTGCCACACAGGCGGAGCTCATTAGCTGTCTTCCGTAAGAGATAATAACGTGGATTTTTTTTATTATTGTCATTTATCTGTTTTATAATTATCGGCGATGCTATTCTGTTGAAAAGTGCCTCGAACTCGTATTTGAACGAAGCGCTGTGAAATTATGGAGCTTCAATAAAGTTAAAACTTTTTTTTACCTTGTGAAGAAAATTTTATTTGTTTGTACTTCTATGCTATCTGAGTGCTGCGCTCGACAATTTTCATAACAGAATAAAGCCTACAGATAAATATGTATGTATCGAGCTAAGCAGTAGCATTAATATAGTTGAACTTTTTACACTATATACATGAATTTTGAATTCTTTGTTGACTACCACTAAACATATTAACAAATGACCTGTCACTTGAAAGTAATACATTGATAAACATTTCAGTTGGTCTCTTAATGTTTTCTCATATCGTATGGTTTCAATTTTATTAAGTTTTTTGATTAAAGCAGTATTTTCACTTTTTATTTGCATTTTAAATGTAATCTATCCTATCATTTGAGACAATCTTACACATTAGTATGCAATTACTCTCTGAAACAATTGAACATAATAGTAGATGCTCCCAATGTACGGTGAACCGAAACTTACGGGCAGTTTACTTACGTTCAACGAAACTTTCTTGTTGCGAAGTTAATTTTTGACATAACGTTGAAGAAATGAATTGTCATTTCTTCTACTTCCTCCTCCCACTAACATTTTATAATGAAACCTACTTAATTTAATTGAAATCAAATTCAATTTCATGCGAAATAAGTTTCTTTCTATGTAATATTCCTTTTTATAAAATTCATAAGAGAATATTTACGTAATGTATCTTAATACATATTGTCATTTTGTTCTTTTCCCTGAAAACGGCATGATTACAGTTTGGAGGTATTGACACAGCGACTATAAATAAAAAAATGAGTTTTGTTTTTGTGATATGAAAAACTAAAAATCATGCTTTACGTTTAACTACATATTTATGGCTCATTTATAATAGTCAACGGCGTAATTCTAATGTCCGGACTATGAAAATGAGACACAAAATCGCGAGCACCCTGCATGCCGACCACTTCGACCAATATAAATAAGCCATTACGTAACCCAAAGAACTTGATAAAGTCACAGTGTCACAGTGATAAAGTTGGACTACAATTATGGAGTTCATATAATTTTCGCTAAGACACTAACCAAAATGTTATTAGGTATTATTGAATCGAACATTTCATCGATTATTATAAAATCCTAACCTCGGCTGAATAACCAAAATGTTATTATTATTAAATTGAGATCCCTATTTCCAAATACACATTGGTCCTAGCTGCATCTGCATTCACACCCACTAAAGTACATTCACGAATCAAAATAGGCGATATTGTAGAATTTTGTCTAATAGCACGGATTTGCAAAAAAAATTTAAGGGTCTACTTCTATGATACATCAAAGTTGACATTACACTGAATGTCGCTTTTACTCTGGGGTTAGATCGTGGGGGTGTAAATGTTGCATTAAATATATGTCTGGGAAATCATAGGTTTCGTAACTGATTCCAAGCTGATTTTATAAATTATATAAATCCAGTAAATTCGAAATGTTCTTTTTTTGCTTTTCTTTTTAATAATTAATCTGAAAAATTAGCTACCGTTATAAGTTGAGGAACTCTGTAATTGGCTTAAGTCATCGCATAACAAAATATTTTTTTTTTTTTTTTTTTTATATTTAAGGAACAAACAGTTATACATATGTTACATGATAGAATCTATTTACAAATAAGCTGTGGAGTTTGAATAAATTTAAAAAAAATATTATGTTTGCGTTATGTCATAGTAACTAACCTTATTTTGTCTGGTTTCCTCTTCTCCTTTTATGGACAATTTTAATGAATAATGAAACAGCTCAACTTTCGATGACAAAACCACATCTAATGACTAGATCGATACAGGACCAAGGCAAAATCAGAAATAGATATTTATATTTATTATTTTGATAAAGTCAGCATTTAAATGTAATTTTCAAGTATTTTTTCAAGCTGGATACGTTTATGATAAAACATTTTTTTTATGGTAGCTATAATACAATCGTAACCTCTACAACTGTTGTAATCTAGTGACAGTGATAGACATGCCGTGAAGAACATAAATTATCGAAAATTTAATTACAACACAGAATAAGGACAATCAGAAAATACCAAATAAAATCAAAAAAAGAAACCACTGATTGCAATGTATAAAATCAAAACATTACACCTGCCTTATTATGTAGATACGGATGGACGTGAGGTTACCATAATGTCATATTCTCCAATTAACTTTCAACTCTACTCTTAAAGCATTAAGGTCAAAATCAAGTGAAGAAATTAGTCAGATTTGTACAATCTGATGTGCTGTTGACTGTACGAAATCAGCAAGGCATGATTTTAAAACAATTCATTAAAATAAAAAAAAAATTATTGAAGTTAGTTGACCAGTTCTGTGTGAATTTATGTGTTATGACATTTACATCATTATACCAGACAAATTGCTTACATATAAAAAAATTATAGGTTCACAATCACAGAAATATATCTTATTTCTGTGTTCACAATTATGTATTCAGTTGTATTGTTTTTATTTTAGGATTCGAAACCTATACCGGTCCCTTGGACCTAAAGAATTTTTTAGGCATTTTTTTAAATCTAAATATCAATATATCATTGTCAAAATTTATTGACCCTAGGAAATATTAAAATAAAATATAAATATTGCAATTCGTTTTCCTTCGCACATTTAATTTTTGAATAAAAAAATAATAGAATTAGTTCAACACTAGAAATCGGTTTTGTACAATTTACAAATAAATATAATTCAATTTGTTGACGTCGAAAAATTATTGGTAAATTTTTGCTGTTCAGAAAAAAACAAACAATAATAGTTCTATTAGTGCATGACTTTCGATTTTGCATGACCGTTTTTTTAAGTCATGAAAAATGTGCCACAGTAATTGGCTCATGATTTTTTTATATACTAGTTGCCCGCTCTGATTTCACACGGGCAACTAGTATATTATAAAAAACAAAAACACACATCATAATAAAAATATAAAAAAAACAATCGTGTCCTATGATTTTCATTACGTACATCAACGTATTTTTTTTAAATAATTTCTATAAATGGAATAAATAAATGGAAGATTGCTTTTGTTTTGGCAGTTCATAAATCAATGTGTCAGTAAAACACAAACAGTAATATTTAGTTAGATCTTTTATCAGTTGTATCAATCAATTCTAAAATCACAGAGGCTGCAAGTAGGCCTTTACAGTATCTCGTTACCCCGGTACTTACTGGTATTTGCAAGTACATTTGCGCTATACTTCTTATCTTATCAAAAGTATTTGTTTATTTTCATATCCCAAATAATTTCTTCCCTAATGCACATCTTTCAAAAATTATATTCGCAACTAAAATTAGTCTATATCCTTCTCCACAATTCAACGTCTTTTACGTCTTATCTTTTGAAAGTAACAAACGAACAGACAAAGTTACTTTCGCATTTATAATAAAACTTTGAACTACGAGTGTACGCTAAATCACAAACAAAACGCCTAGTCATAATCGTATACATTAATCAAAGTTAAAGAGAGAATTGAGTTTTCTGCCGATGCGCGGTGCCCGTATCAAAGCTAGTAAGCTATTCGTCGGCAGCTGATTTAGTGATGATATAATTGCGCGCGGTACAACCGGTGACGTAAGCACTGGTAAGGCCCACGGTGTTCTATGCCCGCGGTGAAAGTGTCAACAGACAAGCTCGGAACCCTGACACCGGCTCGCTGCAACGGCCTTTGTACACTTGACAGAAAGCTACAAAACACACTACGTGTCTTGAAATTTCGGTATGCTGTCTGGACAATATTGATTAGCATCACATAAATATTTATACATACATTATATGACGCTATTATTCCTAGGACTTAGTAGACCCGACAAACCATTTTTTACAAGTTTGTGTGGTTTACTCAACGTTTTAAAATCAATGCTTTTCGTTATTGTTAGTACAAAAAATTACATTAATGTCCGCTGTCGTTACGTCAAATTAAAAATAAGTTTTTTTAGAAATACATTTTTAAAAGTGCAAATAACTCACTTGAATTATTAATCCGAGTGAGTTATTATGTATAGTAATTGTCTCCTGATATATAAATAAAGTAGATGCAGATAATTCCTATAACACAAATGCTCTTTATAATTGTACACTTGAAGTAAAAAGAATGTGACAAGAAAATATTACCAAAAAATATTTTTGTCCTTGCAGCATTGATTGAAGAATAATATGAAAATTAACCTTTGGCTAAGAGCGTAACAAAAACAAAATAAAATCAATCATCAGTATACACTACTGACCATGACTGTCGTATTTTTATACCAAGAAATCTCTTAATATTTAAAGGAAATGACACTTAAATAAGTTGGCGAAACCTCGTTGCCCGCCACCGCACTATTGCCTTTTCGAGTGACCTCGATATGCGTTTCGTAATTAGGGTCCTTCTGATGGGTTTTGAAGAAAGCTGACTTTCTACCCGTGTTACTCAATAAGCAACCTGCTGTGGGTGCGACAAGGTCACCGTGAATTTGATAAATAAAAATAAAATCGAGTTTATTTTTAAACCGCGAGTAATGAGGTTTATTTTCGTGTACAAGGTCCTTGATTCACCTGTCTTTATTTAACAAAATTTGTATTATACATTAAAATTTAGGAACTTAAAAACTACAAAAGTTTGTCACGAAGATTCCTGACAATGAATAGAAAATATACCTACTTTAAAATTATTACCCGTACCGAAAACTAGATACGTATATTCTATCTTCTATGCGGATATAGCGGTATTAAGGCTAGTATTTACATTTGAATTATTTGTACGTAATACCGACTACCTATAATGTTCTTTGCATAACATCCTTATGGTTACTTTAG